TCTTGGTCTGCTACTGTTCGTGCAAATCTTCTTGCTCATCGCTTACTCAGTTATGTTGATGGATCTGAACCATCACCACCGGCTCTTATTCTTGATGAGAAGGCTACGGCACCAAGCAAGGATGCACCCCCGGTTATGAAACCAAATCCAGCGTATGAATCGTGGCTTATTGTTGATGCTCAGATTCGGGCCTGTCTCCTTGCGATTGTTTCCCCCACTGTTCAGACTCATATTCATGCTCTTCTCACTTCTGCTGCAATCTGGAATCATCTCGAACAACGGTACAATTCTCTTTCACGCACTCATATTTTTCAACTGAAGAAGCGCTTGCACAGTGTTACTAAGGGCACTGATTCAATGCAAACGTACTTGGATACTGTTCTCACCATTATGTCGTCTCTCAAATTGGCACATGAAGATATCTCTGAACAAGATATTATTTTGTGTGTGCTTCGCGGTCTACCGGCCGACTACGCCTCTCTCAAGCAAAACATTCGCACCAATATTGCCACAGTCACTTTTAATCAAGTCTCTTCGTGGCTTCTCTCTGAAGAATTGAACTTATCATTTGAGAAGAGATTGTCTCTGGGGGACTCTGGCTCTACCTCGTCTGTTGACATCCATAGTGCTCTTTACACCAATTCCGGACGGGGCACTGGACGAGGCCGTGGCCGTGGGCCGTCACGAGGCCGAGGAGGGCCGTATCGCGGCGGTAACCCCAGCGGCAGGGGTGGCCGGCAGCCGCTGAGCCGTGATGATCCGCGCGGCAGAGGTGGCGGACGAGGGGCGTCTGTCATATGCCAACTATGTGGGAAGCCCGGCCATGCGGTCTGGAACTGTTGGCACCGCTACGACGAATCCTATACTGGCATCTGGACACTGGCGCAAACACCCATGTCACGCCTGATTTGTCTCGGCTGCATACTTTGACTCCGTACCATGGCACCAATTCCATCACAACTGCAGGAGGTAACACATATCCCATTGACCATACAGGCTCAGGTATACTCACCACCCCTCTCCACACTTTTACCTTAACCAACCTTCTCCATTCCCCTCACATTAACTCCCATCTTCTTTCAGTCCATCAATTTACTAAAGATAACAATTGTTCTCTTCTTTTTACCTCTAAGGATTTTACGATTCGGGACAATCTCACCAACCAAGTTCTTTTCAAGGGCCCTTGTGAGCGTGGTCTGTACTCCATACCGGCATCTTCCTCTAATCTGGTGGTCAACTCTGTCAAAGTCACTCCCTTTCAATGGCACTGTCGTCTTGGTCATCCTTCAGCTTCAGTCACAAAGTCGTTATTGTCTGAATTAGGTTTTAAATTTCAGCATCTTGATCATTGTAATTCTTGTTCTCTTGCTAAGTCTCATAAACTCCCCTTCCCTGTGTCTGAAACTAAAACTTCTGCTCCTTTTGAGCTTGTTCACTCTGATGTATGGGGACCTACTTCTGTACCCTCCTTTGGAGGTTATCATTTTTATATTAATTTTATTGATGATTATACCAAGTTTTGCTGGTTGTACCCTCTTAAAAATAAATCT